GGTTGGAGTCAAGTTCCCCTAACACACAGCTCCCATAGGTTCAGCATCCCCACAGGCAGCGCTGGGCACGGCCCTGTGTCCTCACCATGGATTTCAGGGCCAGGTCAGAGCGAGCCAGGAGCACGGGTGTCACGGGGACAGGAATGTTCAGCTGCTGGGGACAAAGATCAGGCGGTGCCCGTGCTCGGAGCGCAGTTATCCCCAGCAGCACTGCGGGATGGATCCGGACTAACACCATGTACCTGGCTGCAGCCACAGCTTCACCCCATACGAAGGTCCCCACAGCCTGAAGTTCTCAGCTATGACCCCTTATGCTGTTGGGGCAGGAACTTGGGAGAAGACGTGGCTCTTTCAGCTATAGGTGACCCTGTAGCTCCCCCATTAGCACCCAGCTCTCCCAGTCTGAGTGCTGAGGGGCGCTGGGGGGGTCTCACAACAGGGACATTTCCTTGTGTGCTTCTGCATTAACAGCTCCATGCCCCTGCTGAGGCTGGAAAGGGTTATTGCAGCCATAGCTCCATGGTTACAGAGCAAACTGTGCCCTGAGCGCTGTGGTGGGTGCTGCCCCATCCCTGACCCTCATTCAGCAACAGTCAGGGGTTTCAGCTGAACATGCAGGAGGAGCATCCCCCTGCCCTGCACCTCGAGTGAATATCTGCTGCAGGTACAGCAGGCAGACCAACAAAGGCACTGGTGATAACCACAACTTGCTCTGCCCTGGCTCCCCCACGGATGCTCAGTGCTGTCTATGGGTACATCCCTGTGCTCCTTCAGCTGAAAGCAAGCTGAGTGATGGGTAGCAGGATGATGGGTACCATGGAGCTCACTCCATCCCCGGGATGCTTGGTGGTAGAATCCATGGCACCACCTGATATTTGCTAATATTTATGAATTGTGTGAAGCAGATGTAGAAAATAATTTGCTCTGTTAATACCTAAAGTCAGCATTAAAAGAAAATGATGCTCCACTTTTCCTGCTTTCCTGGCCTGCTTGGCAGCTCTCTCACAGGGAAGACACACTGATCCTGTTCATGTTGCTGCCTTTGGGGCATTTTGGGTTTGGGAATAACCATGGAGGGGCCTAAAAGCTGTTGCAAAGCCCCTGTGAGATGCTGCATCCAACCAAGGCTGCATCAGCACTGCACCCAGCCCTGTGCTTAGCTGGTGGGCGCAGTGCAAGGCAAGGCAAAGCTGGGGCGTGCTGCAGGAGCTCTGCATGGAGCCCTCATCCTGGTCCTGGCCATCCACCCTCCTGCAGCTGTGTGTTACTCAGCTGCCTGCCCAGGAAGTGAATCCCGGCGGGATGGGCAGGAAATAGTTAAGCAAGTGGCAAGCAATGGCCCACACTGGCCCGGCAGGTCCCAGACCCCAGTGTCACCCTCCGGTGTGGGCACTGTGGCCATCACCAGTCACCAGCTCCGGGTGAGGCTGGAGGAGCATCAGGCAGAGCTGAGGATTCAATGCTCCAAGGGATAGTCCTCCCCATGGTCCCATCTGCCTGTAGGACTCACCTGGTGTCCTGCACGTGATGTCCTTTCTTGATTTCCGTTCCAGCCCCATGGCTGAGCACACCATCCAAGGGGAGCAGCCAAGAATCCCAGTGCTGCCAGCCCCATAGGGGAAGCAGCCATGTTCTCCCCCCTGGGGTGGCTGTGGTACCCAGCACCGGAGCAGGGATGATGCAATGCGCACTCAGCACCTGCAAACCCACATCTCCAACAACACAGCCACTGAACATCCTTGGTCCCCCAAACCTTCCCTGGCTTCTCCCTCCTCCAGATCATGATCCGGATAGTGCTTGATGTATTCTTCCTAGTATCACCTGACCAGCTGATTTTAGTAGCTGCAATATCCCATTGACGCAATTTTGCTGTCTGCTCGTTTTGAACCTGTTGCTTGCTGTTTATTGGATCAGCCCAGCCAGATCCTGAGGACAAAGAGACAAAAGCACCTGAGTGACAGCGCCAACACATCACCCTTGCAGCAGCCACATGGGGCTAAGGGCAGGGCCTGTGAATCAGCATCATTTTTGTGAGTGATGCTCCTCCAGCTGAGGAGCCGGGGATGTATGGCTCAAGGATGGGGTGTTCATGCCATGAGCAGACACAGCCCATTGGCCTCACTTCACTCCCTACACGCCACCTCCTGCACCATCAGGACAAGGAAATGTGTGTCCAAGCTAAACCCAGGGGACTGGTTTTGCTGGGAAGCCCAGTTTAACACCAGCACAGGGTTTGGTGCTTGTAGCTTGGGGAGTTAAGGGACAACCATGCCCAGGATTGCAGGTTTTGTGCCAGGGAGATGCTGCCATCCACTGCCCCGGTGCCAGCAGGACCTGTGCCATGTCCAGCCACGGCACCACGGGCCAGGGCTGTGTTTGCTGTCTGGCAGCACCGGGCCAGGGAAACCTGCTGCCGGCTGGGTTTCTGTTTGGGAGGGTTTGAAGGGTGTTCTCCAGGGTGTGCCAGCCCCGGCCTCCACCCTGCTTTCACAAGTGCCCTCTCCGAAAGGAGCTTGTTGTTCTCGGCCGTGGAGCAGAGGCAATTAGCACCAGTAAGGTTCTTCCATAGGGGCCAGTCTGCCAATGAGCAGAGTAATGGGGCCTGGGGATGAGCTGAGGGCATAGGGACAGCCGTATCCCCTTCCCATATCCAGGGAAAGTAGGGCCTGGCTCCATCATGAGCCCACTGGGATGCAGCAACCCAGCGAGCCTGGGGGGATTGAAAACCAAGGGACATCTCCTGGGCTGGGGGTCTGAATGCCCTGTCCTGCAAGGGCTGCATCTCCATGCTTTGTAGGACGCAACGTGGTTGGAAACCAAGGAGCAAACCTAAAGCCAAGCAATAAGCATGAACCCAAAAAGCAGGCACTTGCTCTGGGGCTGCTGACACCTCTGACAGCCACGCCTGTGCACACAGAGTGTCCTCCTCACCCCACCTGGGATAGATGTGGGTCTGAGCCCACCTCCTGGGCTCTGCAAGGCTGCCATGGCTCAGCTCTGGTCTCTCCCTGCAGACATGGAGATGAGCACGTTGGTCACAGGGCTCAGCAATCCTAAGCACCATAGCTGCATGGGGATGTGTCCCATGGCGCTTGGGTACTGTCACATCACCGGACCTCTTCACAGGCTCTTTAGGGGAAAGACAAGCTGGGAGAAGGATCTGTGTCAGCATCAGCCCAACACCAGCAACTGCTTGGGTGCTCCTAAGCAGAAAGGCAAAGTTAGGGAATGTTCAAACCCCGGCTGCCCATCAGCCCCTGGATACCCGCTGCATTCTGGTGCCCGGACAGCCAAAGGCTCCAGCAGGTTCCAAGGCAGTAGATCCACTTCTCCCTGTCATCCACTGCAACACACTGGTCCCCATTGCACTGAAAGGACCGGGATGTGAGCCAGGGCAAATCACTTCCCTTCTGTGTCCAGCACAAACCCAAAGGCACGCTTCATCCCTGGGGTATTGGAGCAGGAAGCTGGTTTGTGCCCAAGGGCGCAGGGCTTAGGTGAAGTCACACGTGTGCATGAGGAAGGGGATGAATTTACCACCATCCCCTCACCTGAAGACCGGCCTTAGGTTATGGGTCCTGCTTGCAGCAGCACTTGGTGACCACCCTCCTGCCGCATCCCTGCTGCCTCTCAGCCCTAGTGGGCTGTGGGTCCCATCCTGCTCTCCCAGCCCCGGTCCCGGCAGAGGGAGCTGTGACATTATCCAGAGTTCTCCTTGCCCGTTGCCAGCCCTGGGCTTTGGAGAGGGACCAAAGCAAACAGGCCCTGGCGCTGCGCAGCCCTCACGAGAACTCGCTGACTCAGCACCTCTGATCGCTCGCCCTCTTGCCTGGAACTGAAGCCAGGAGCTGCGCAGGACTCGTGATTTCAGATGGAAAAGCACTTTTAGCTCTAAAAATCACTTACAAAAACTCCTCCTCGCTTTGCACCTGAGCAGAAAGGTCTTGGTCCTGCAGTGCTGCGGTGGTGTTCAGCTGATGCTGGAGCATCTCTGTGTGCAACAGCACAGGCTGGGACCCCACAACTCTCCTGGGGGGGGGGGGGGGGTTCAGCCACATAAGGGGCAGTAGGACACAGAGCCACTTTGCAAAGAGTATTTCTTGCTTGCAAAGAGTACTTTTCCTCCCCTACAAAACCCAAACAAATCCCCAACCTCCAAACAGCAAAACCACAACTTCCACAGCTCCAAAGCGTGGTCCGGATCCCAGCCAGACCTGGGGTGAGCACATACAGACTGTCAGGAGTTACCGTGCTCTGGCCATCCCTTATCATCTGCATCCTTGAGATAAGGCAGGATAAGCAGTACCAACAACAACACGCGGCATTTCTCTGATCTGGTGGTTTGCATCACAGCCTGAACAGGCATATGGCCAATACCCCATGGCAAGGGGCTGTTGACTCTTTCCCATTAGGATATATCACTGCCCAGGTCCTCATCCTGCTGCTGTACCCCAGAACCAATCCTGCCAGCCAGGAGCCATCCATAGCTCATGCATAGGTACAATGGAGCTGAAGGTTTGGACGGGGAGTGCAGTGGTCAGTGAGAGATGCAATGGGTCTGTGCAGAACACTTAATGTTACAGTTCAGAGCTGTGTTTTGAGCACTGATACTTTAGGGATGCTTGGAAGAGGCTCTGGGCTGTAGTCTGGTGTTATGCTCAGTCCTGGGATGCTCCTGGAAGCAAAAGCCAAGATCCTTCTCTTCAATGCCCTGGAGAGATGCGGCAGGAACTCTGCCTTCATGGGATAGCAGTTTGACCACCGGAAGACACCTAGCAACATGGTCAAACCATCTTCATTTCAGAAGACAGCACGGACTGGGCTCACGGATGGGCTGGCTAAAGGCAGAGCTGGCACAGCCCCAACCCACAGCAACCAAAACTGCCTTCCAAAAACACAGCAACGAACAATACAAGCAAGAACCAGAAGAGAGACCAGGACTCCCCATCCCTCTGCTCCTCCAGCCCAAACCCCACATCAACCACTCGCTCAGGAAAGAATGGATTGGAACTGTTTATTTTAGGTCCCTTTGTTAGCATTATCACCTATCTCCTTCCACTCCTGGCTTGTGTGGTCTCGCAGCCATTGACAGCACAGTGCAGCACGCATCTTCCTCCAGCGAGCAATGACCATCATCCCTTCAAGGTTGGCAGGAGCTGCCTGGTCCGATCTCAGCCGTCATCCCTCCGTAGCAGGTACCGCCTGGGAGCATCGCACAGACAGGGAGCAGAGCGAGGGAGCAGGAGGGCAGTCCAGAGGGACCGATGGGGATGGCTGTAGCTTTCAGCTGGCCCAGGAAGGGAGTCTCTGGCTTGTGTTTTCTGGCAACTTAGAACTGGGTTTGTTTCTGGATCATTAAAAACAGAAACGACGATGCTATCTGCAAAGGGAAAGAGAGAAACCCATCAGCACCCCATGAGGATCCCGGCCTGAGTGTGCTGAAAGCTGTGAAACCAGCAAGAAGCACACAGCTATTTGAAGGCTGGGAAGTCCAAAGAACACAGTGACATGGGGTGTCAGGAGATGTGGCAGTGCGGAGATGCACACTGATGCCTTCCCTTCACCTCCATGGCACATGGTCCTTCAAACCAAACCAACCAAACACCACAGGACAGCAACAATTCCAACCCAGATATGCAGTTTCCAAAGGTCTGAGTAAGATCTCAAGTATCCCAATGGCACTGGACTCTGCCATCAGCCTGGTTCCACCAGGAACTGTGGCTGATTTCCTAATGCCTTCTAAAGGTGAAGAGTCCAGACAAGCCTGAGCATGGTTGAAAAACCCAGGTACAGGGACACAGAAGAATCAGACCACAGAGCAGTCTGCATTCGTACAGGTTATGAAACCAAACAAGGGCTTCACGTCCTGCCCAGCCACATTAGGGCTGTTGAGTAATGAACTAACGCTATTGCTACCTCTATGAACTCTCATCGTTTCCACACGAGCAGGAATTTGCCCACACACAAAAGCACTGAGGTTACCCGGACTCCTACTCTTCCAGGTGGGTTGAAACCGAGACCTTACATTATCCACATCTCCACCTGCAGAAGGGTTTAACCTCTCAGAGGCCCCATCTCCTACTTACAGTTCAGTGTCTACAATGACATCTGGCTTCTCCAGAGTCTGTCGTCTCCTCTGGATGGCATCCACAATCTTTTTCCTGGGTCCTAACGGGATATTGATGCTCTTCAGGTCATTGTCTGAACACAGCATGAGGGCCTCCAAGTCAATCTTTTCCTTCTTCAAGATGGAGATGAACTCAAACATGTGCAGGGAAGCCAGAAAAGTCTCCAAGGGGCTGGTGTCTGGTTCATCATCATCATCTAAGCCCAGCTCCACCTCATCCCAGGGCAGCTCCTCCGCGTTCCTCTCCTGCAGGCTGTTGGCACTGCCAATGCTATCGTTGAGACTTGGCGAGCGCTGCAGGCGGCTCCGCAGTTTGACACCTATCCCATCCGTGTTGTCTTCACCCAACGTGCCAGCGTCCTCCCGGCCGATCCCAAAGAGCCCACCGCTGACGTAGTTGCGCCGGAACACCATGGTGCCCAGCCCGGGGCGGTTGAACAAGGAGTCGTGGCCAGAGTCAGTGCTGACTTCCGAATGGGCCGAGTCCATGTGCAAACCTGGGTCGCTTATGGCACGGGAGACAGTGTCTTCATCCGTGAGGAACATGTCTCGGATATTACGCCGGGTCCACTCCTTGGGGCTGGCGTACGTGCCCTGCTTCACAAACATGACATCGTTCCCCAGCTGCAGACCAGACAGGGACCGCACGCTTTTCCTCCCATCCTCGTAGATCTTGAACGTCCCGTCTACCTGCTTCTTCTTCTCCAGCTTCTTCTGTATCTTCGTCTTTCCCTTGGCTGTGCCGTGGATGGTGGCTTGGGAGTATGGCAGGGAAGTCACCATAGACATGTGCTGAAACTTCTTGCTTAAGGTGCTGCTTGAATAGCTGGAGAAGCTCATGGTATCCGAATTATCTGACATCTCCTTTCTGTACCGCTTCTCCATCCTTTCGTGGTGCTTCTTCTGCAGCTTCACACAGTCTTTAATCCTCCGCTCCGCGTCCCTAAAGGCCTTGTCCTTCAGTTTGCTCACCAGCTTGGGGTTGAGGCTGCTCTGCTTGGCAGCAATCGAGTCCAGGTATCGCACACACTCCATGTGCCCCTTCATGGCTGCCATGTCCAGCGGGGTATGGTAGTCATTGTCCAGGCACCAGATGTTGGCCCCAAAAGAGATGAGGAAGGAAAGGCAGTTGAGGTGGCCATTGGCTGCTGCCAAGTGGAGAGGGGTATTCCCCCAGATGTCACATTTGTCTGGATCCCCCCTAGACAGCAAGAAAGGAACCCGTTAGCAAGTAGGCATGGCTGAGATAGCTACTGAGATATTGCCACTTGTGCAGGGCCAATTCAGCACCATGAACCGTTGAACCCTCAAAATAGGAAGCTACATGTCCCACAGCTTAATTTTAAGGGGGTTTCTGGAGGGGTGCACCACTGACACGGAATCATGGGCCTGACATGCAGGTCATGACATGAATTTAGCTCTCAGGAGACACACGTTCCTTCTTGCTGGCCTTGGCCTTGGGGTTCTGTGGGGGTTTTTGCTGTGCCACGCTTGGTCTCGCTTGCACGGCTTGAAGCACATTGGTGTTAGCACATCCTGAGAATCCAGTTTCAGAGAAAGTGGAGATTGGGTTTCTGCACTCCTCAAGAGCAGGGCACTCCACTAATGCCATCAGCATCTCTCCTCACACTGTGCCAGCCCCTACCCCTTACCCTGCTGACAGGGCACGAGCCCTTGCCCACACCTGCCTCCCATGCCAGGACGGACACAAACAGGGATTTCAAGGGAAGCTGGCCCTCCTGCCATTCCTATTTGCGACCTGTTGAAACAGGAGCCAGTTCACACCCCTGCTGGCACCAGCCTTCGCCCCAGCGCATGTGCTAATGATATGCAGGCAGCAGCAGTATCTGTCAACAAGGCGCTCTCCCTTCCTGCACCGGGATAAGGCAAAGCCTTTTATTAAGGCTGTGCAGCTCCACCACCCTCAAGAGCAACTCCCGTGGGCAGCAGGGCCCTTTCATCACCACTCTTCCAATGAGGAGCCAAGCACTGTCCCTCCACCATGAAGACCTCAGCTCCAAGCCCTGCTGACACCTAGTCTGGAAGGCAAAGGCACACTTAAGACTGTCAATCAGTGCTACTTTACACCTTGCTGCTTTAGGACCTGTGTTGGGAAGAGCTGGGAGCAGCAGAACCCAGAACCCCCTCCCCAACCCCATGTGCTCTATGCTACGGCTCATCTCACTTGAGAGAGCCTGAAAACTACGTCAGGCACAGAGATCACAGGAGACAAGGGATTTCTTTCCTGCTCTGCTTTGCATCTTCACCCCTAGCACCCATAACAGCTTTGTCCTCATCCAGCACATCCAGCCTCCCGTAACAGAACAGCAGAGCCAGAGCAGAGCAGTAATGACTCAGTTGCATCACTCAGGCTTTGCTGACATTTAAGCTATGTAAAACTGAAGGGAAATGGTTCCACAAAAGGCAGAAGCAATAGAGACAGTGTCCAGAGGTTGAGCTGGAGATTATTGGAACCTGGAGTGTAAGCTATTACCTAAGAGCTGCTCTGAGGAACGCCCAGCTTTCCCCTTGTGGGAGCATCACCAGCAGCTCCAATACACTTGTGTTTTCACAGAGTTTGTAGAAACTCAGTAAGCCCAACCCAGAGCCTTTGACATCCCTCATAGAAGCAGAGAAAGGCTTCAAAGATGAGCGATAGGTCAGGTCACAGGGTTGAGGAGCCCTGAAACCAGCCAAAGGAGGAGGGAGCTGTTAGTACTGTAGCAATGCCCAGTTTCCAGGAGCGGTAACTCCCCAACCCTCGCCTCCACACTCGTAGTGACATGTCCAGGCTGGGAAATTCATGGGGAGGATGAATATTTGATGAATTGCAAGAGAGGAGTGAATTATTGATGGGGCTGGATCAAAGAGCCACTGAAACTGGAACCGTGGGCGCTGGAGTGGGGCTCCGGCGCGTGGAGGGGGCTTGGTCTGTTTATGTGGGCTCTGAACAGGTACATGAGTGCCCAGCACGGGTGGGCAGACGAGCCAGGGCGTCCTGAGGGTCCCAACAGGTACAGGGACTCATGATGTGGGCAGGGGATTAGCAATGGACTCACTAGAAATCATTGTGCTCCCCAGGCCGAGTGTGTGGATGCTCCATCCATAGAGCCCATTCTCACGGCTGGCTGGCTCACGTGGCAAAGAGCAAGGTCGTGGGGGATTCCTATTTGAAGGTCTACTTTCCCCTCATGAGTGAGTGCATCAAAACCAGCTTTCCCTGGACTTTTCCACTGTCTAAAACCAAGAGCACTAAAGCAAAATTAATCTCTAGGTCCCCCTGCTCGATAAATGCCTGCTGCAGGCACCAAAAATGCATCCGAAGGGAAGGAGAATGGTGACTTGCAAAGCAGAGGTGTTTGATCCAGCACAGATAATAAACATGAGGCCCTCCCTCCGGCAGGTGTCTGAGCAAACCTTCCCCTCCAGGGCGCTGCACATGAGGAGATGCTGACTGCAGGGTCCACTAAGTGGGAACCTATGTTAATAACAGGGATAGAGCCCAGCACTTCTCAACTTCAAAGCGTTTTTGAGTGCTGAGTCAACTCCTGTAATAACCATTACGAAAAACACTGTTAATTGAGCCCCTTAGGTGGACGTGTGCGTGGCCTGAGTCACTCCCTTCGCACCGTGACAGGCACACTCACTCCCTTCCTGCTGGTTTTCCCCCTCCACTTCTCCCATAGGATCCCAATTAGCTGGAGAATCCAGCGGCACTTACACACGTCCTTCCCTGGCTGCATGCGTGAAGTTCCTCTGATAGCATTGGGCTGGCTCATGCCCTGGCTCGTGTGTGAAGGATCAGGCCTTCAGACCGGGAGCCAGCAGGGTGCTGAGTGTCTCTGCCTCCCATAACACGTTTTTGGATAGAAGAAGAGGAAAACTCAGTCACGGCTGGAGGAAAAAGCCCACCAGCATCAACATAGCCAGGGCAATGAAACAAGTAAAGCTTAGAAATGGGAAGAAAAGAGGTTTCGGAGGCAGAGCAGAGCCTTGGGTGCTTTGGTAGTTCCAGGTGGTGGTAGGTCAAGGATTCAGCTTTTCTCCCTGCCAAATCCATCACAGATGCTGCAGGTGAGGTTCCCCCCTCAGGGATCCCTGCCTCTTGTACCAACAGAAAGCCAGGCCAGCAGCTACTGGTGCTGGTGCTCATCCCTGCAGTGGTAGTGCCTGCGGGCACGTCTACTGGCTCAGCACTTCCCCATGCCCTCATCTGGGGCTGGCTCCAGGAGCCAGCTCAGGTGCCAGAGGCGATGAGGCTACAGCCACGCTCCACCCTGCTCCTTCCCCTTCCCAGCCCAGGGCAAGGTGTCCCCAGCACGGCCACGCTGCTGCGGGCACCCACGTGGCTGTGAGCACTGCGGGGTGCAGGGGATGCTCATCACCTTCTCATGCTCTGCTGCAGCCTCCACTGCAACCGGCCCCAGCCAGGGCAATGGGACTCTTCTGAGCAGCCCAGCTGATGTCTGGAGCTCTCTTGTCCCATTCCACTCACTGCTGAGCTGCACCCCTCTACCATTAACAACCACAGCAGCCGTGATCCCCATTGTAAGAAGGGAAACTGAGGCACCTCTGCATTGAAACACCACTTGACAAAGCTAACGGAGAGCTGTCTAGCAGAAGGAACATCCTCACCTCTCCTGTGGTCCACTCCAAGGCAAGGAAGTCCTGGCTCTTCCCAGCTGAGGGCCCCAGACCCGCTGTTAACTGGGGCTGGACTGGTGCCCGCCACTGCCACTGCAGTTCATAACGAACCACGCTGAAGAATTACTGCCTCTGAAAAGCTGCAGTGCTAAATGCCACCCTGCCTCTTCCCAGCCAGCGGGTAAATTGAGTTTGCTTCTCTCGCTGGAGCCCAGCCAGGAGGAAGAAAAAGGCTTTTTGTACTGCAGACAAGAAGGATGAACCATTGCTGATCCCTCTGTCCCAAACGCTCTCTCCATCCCCATGCAGAGGTGTCTCAGAGGTACAGACACATCCCCAGCTGTTAGGGACTAGATAACCCTAAGTGTCCATCCGACACCACTATCGCTGCCCAGTGCTGGCAAGGAGGGTTTGGTGTTTCTTGCTGCCCCATCACGCCTTGTGCCTCAGCATCCCACGGCAACCCAGAGGTTAAACCACCCCCCTCACACCCTGAACCTTCTCCCATCCCATCCCTGCATGGAGCCAACCCAGCCCCAATGCCTCCTCTCACCCCAGCACCATTCCATGCCTCAGTCCCGCATTGTCCTGCCTCGCAGTGCAGGGCTTTTCATGCCAAAGAACAGTCGAGGCCAGAGAGAAATGCCCTGGGTAACAGACCCAATACAGAACTAAGTTTCATCTCTGAACAAGACAAAGGCCATTGCACATCATCCTAAACACTAACAAAAAACCACAGGGGCTGCCCATGGGCTCTCCTGAGTCCTGCGTGATTCCCCTTCTTACAAACCCAAAGTCAGCTCCAGGGAGCAGAGAGGAGCCTGCAGTGAGCTGAGCAGGAGGGCAAGGAGCCTTTGCTGACCAGTGTGTGGTCCTGGGCAAGGACCTGACACACGGAGATGGATGCAGGGATGTAAGCACACCCTGCAGCCCACAGACACGTTTTGTTCCACCATCCATCACGGAAAGGGCACTGGGCTTTTGCCAGGCTATTTTCCCTGTCAGGAACAAATGTATATCAGGTTGTTAATTAAACAGCAGCCGAGCTGCACTCGGACACGATTGAGCCCACAGGGACCTTCTAATGCAATGTGAATTTATAAATGGGGCCCCTCCATGGGAAAGGCTTCGTGGAAAGGCAGAAACTGCTGGCTCGGATGTGTGGGTAAGCAGGGCAGGCTGCAGGGCGTCCTGTGATGGAGGTGGGCAGTATAATGACATATAATGATATAAGGAGATATAAAGTCAGTCTGAAAGGCCTGTGATGTGGCCAAGACAAAGCCTTTCTGGAGCGGTGTTCATCCATGTCACGGGCCATTCTGACTGATCTTTTGGCCATCAATGAGTCTTTGGAATCATTTCTGACTTCAGGGTCTCATCCCCAGAGCTCCTGCCCCTGTCTCTCTGGCTCTGGGTGGTGGTTCCCCTGCAGGCAGAGCTCAGGGCAGGTTTATGCTGGGCACAGTCTCTTTGGGAGGCACACAGTAAGTCCCGCATCCAGGGAAGCATCACAGGGCTCTCAGCCCAGGAGCATCTCAGGATGCACCTCTCAGAGTGATGCCTTATCCCCTCCGGACTCCAAAATCCTCTTTCCCTGGTCACACTCCCATTGCATCAGGCACTCAAGGACTTCTCACAATCAGACCAGAGCATCAGGAGATGCTGAGAGCCCAGGAACAGGCACAGTGATCGGGTACAAGGGATAAAACACAGCCCAGGGTGGACATGGAAAATCCCTGCTTGGGAGCTGATGGCCCCACCAAGCCCTGACCCTACCTGGAGAAGCAAAGCCCTTCCAAGGAGGGATGCTGAGTAACCCAGGCTGCCCACCTCAGCACTAGCACTTACTGTTAGAATGAACTAAACCAAAATCAGCACTGGCACCGATCTCTCAACGCAAGGCAGAGGTCACCCCGCTTTGGATACCTTTACATGAGGTGCTCAGAAAAGCTCCTGGAGCAGAAGGAAGCATTGGCACATCTCCCTTGGGGGGGCTGGTAACAGGAATGCCATGTACTGCTCCAGAGGGGACTAAGCATGGCAGAGCTTGCCTTGAGTTCCTCCAACACCAAGATATGAAGCCTCCAGTCTGACAAGCCCCCCAGGTCTCACTCCCATCCCTCTACACCCATGCGTACAGAGCCAGAGACCCTGAGGTTTGGTATCTCAGGGTGAGGTACTGAGACAGATGAGCATCGAGCAGCCCCAGGGAGGGAGACTGCACTTGAATCTGCTTCTGGGGACCTGCTCCTGACATTCCTGGGCTCTGGGTGCATTACAGGCTGCCCAGGGGTCACATTCTGAGAGCCTGCTTTGGGTCAAACAGACATGGCACTGCATACGTCTCTATGTGAGCATTTATTGGGACAGAAGGAGCAGTTATTCTCTCTGCCCCCTCAATTAAAAGGGATTTTTCCATAGCAGTGACCCGATGTGTTTGCGCTGGGTGTCTTTACAGGACCTGACTCAGGAGTGCAAAGCACTTGGAGGGGGGACCCAGTCCCTGGGGAGCTGAAAGCAGGGTTTGAAGCAGTTATAGGGTCAGAGGAGCTGGGAAAGCACACAATGGTTATCAGGAGCACTGGATTGGACTCAAAGCACCACAAGGACAGAAAAACAACCGGGGGGGGGAAAGGCATGCTATGGACAGAAGCCATCATTTTGTGGGGCACCTGCATCCACGCTGACCTACAAGTGGGGAAGGGGGAAAGATGGGGTCCCAGCTACTCTGTCCCTAGGACCAGTCCCGTGCATTCACCAGTGCTCACCCTCTGCTGACGATGAGGCGCAGGGCATCCAGGTTGCCGTGGTAGGCAGCCCATAGGGTCGGGGTCATGCCATCCTCATCCGGAGAGTTCAGATCCTTCTTGGTGGCTTCCTTCAGGAGGTCCAGGTAGCCGTCCCGGGCTGCTCGGTGGTACTGGTCATTCATGGTGGGCAATGGTCCCCGGGGGGGGGCATGGGTGCCCAGGGGGTGCTCAGAGGATGGGCATGGACGCGGGGAAGGGGAGGGCTCGCCTCGCACAGCGCCGCTGTACCAGGACACCTGAGAAGTCCCGGCCGCTCCAAGCACAGCCAAGCAGGCGCTCCAGAGCTTCCCTGGGTCCTAAGCATCCTCCAGCCCTCACGGCTCCTCGCCACAACCCTTTCACGCGCCAGCAACACGGCACATTACGGCTTCCAATTAAGCAGCATCACTGCGTTGGACTCAGCAGCGCTGTGGGCACAGCGACAGCTCCACAGGTCTGTGTGTCCCCTGCACAGAGCAGGCTGCCAGGTACCTGCCTGGTACCCCAGCACGCCCCTTGCCATAGCTACCATAGGGGCAGCTGCCCCCCGCCATGGGAGGAAGTGAGGGTGATGGAGCATAAAACCCCTGCTGCCCCCACTTGCAGCCCCAGCAGAGAAGGGCAGGAGCTGAGACCTGGATGGATGCTCCTGCTCCATGCAGAGATGGTCAAGAGGAGTTTGGTGACAGCCCTGATTTCAAAGCAATGCCAGGGTTGTTTTCCTGTTATAGACAGATAGACAGATACATAGACAGATACATATCTATACATATATTTCCCTATATATATGGGGAATTATTAGATATTATTATAATTATAGAAAAATAATATATGTATTGTATACTAACACATATTTTATATATGTATATGTATTACTAGGGAAATATATATATATTTCTGTCCCTGATAACCTGGAGTAACTCACACAGGCTGGAAAAATTCCCTTCCTCATCCCCTCTCCCTCTTTGGACACCATAAAACCTGCCCAAACCAAACCCACTCCTGCCTGTGGCTCAGCCCTCCCGCAATGTGCACAACGTCCCCTCCCGTGTCTCTTAATGCTGACACGGGATTCCCGGCTGTGGTGAGCCCGACAGCCGCAGGCAATGCCTCCAGCGCAGGATTCCTGAGCCCCGGGCACCCTCTGCCGTCAGGAGAGACGGAGCCAAGCCTGGATGTTGACCCAAGCACGGAGCTGTCGCAACGCGTTGTGCCCAACACTGAAGCGCATCCCCTGGGACACGCTGTCACGGAGGAGGAATTTCCTGCTCCTGTCCGGTGTGTTTTGCCTGCCACATCCTGGTCCTGGCTCTGGGGATGGAGAGTTTCAGAGCTGGACCACGTGTGGCCCTGGGACGCACAGGGAGTTTGGAGAGGATGAAGGAAGACCAAGGATGAGAAAGCAGGGAAGCGTGGAAAAAGGGGGAAAGACTGAAAGAGAGCAGCAGAGAGGACTGGAAGGTAACGAGCAGAGAGGAGGGAAGATAGAGAGGAAAGCAGCTTATTTTGTAAGCAAAAAACCCACCCCCCAGGGGCTGCTCACATCAGCAGGTTCATGCTCACCCCCTCAGCCTCCTTGAGTAGGTCCTGGTGCGATGTAGTAGACATGGAGGTATTTGTGGCTGGGATCCTTCCGGGTGAAAAGCGGCGCAGTAATGTCTGCAGTTCATTGCAAGGTGATTGAATGATTCTTGTATTGTTACTAATTAAGCCTGTTACACTGTCTGGTGGCTCCCAGGAAGGACCAGGAGCATTGCCCAAGGCTGTAAATGCTCTTCCCCCTGTTGTTGGCTGTTAAAGACAAAAGAGAGAGGATAAATCATTGCGTGTCGCTCTGGGGGGACTCTGATCATCACCTGCGCAGAGCATCACCACTGTCAGCTCAGATTCACTGTAAAGGGGTCTGGGTTCCCCTGGGAATGGCTACAGACTGAGACCAACCACTCACCCCAAAGAGGAGCCCATAGGCTCAGCAGAGGCCAGGCAGGGCAGACCCAGCACTGCTTCGTGACAGCCGGTTGGTGGCAGCACGGGAAAGAGACACGAAGCTCTCCCTGGGCTGCATGGGAGATGTGAGCTCTCTCCTTCACCATCCCACGCAGCTCAGTTTGATGCTGTCCCTATAGGGCTCCAAGAAGGAGCACAGAGGAATGAGCAGGCAGGAATGGGACTGAAAATGCACAGCAAACAGCCCCAGGCTGTGCTTGCCCCAGAGACGAGCTGCAGGGACATCTCCAAGAGAGGTGTCCTCATGAAGGAATATGACTTGTCCGCATTCAGTCAGATCAGCCCGGGGTCCTTTATCTCCCCCACCAACATATAACAGCTAAGAGAAAGCTCCCCCCTCACCTGGCAAATCACAGAATCCCATCTGCCCTGTGGTTCGTGCCATGACTTCTTTCTTCCCGAAAGGACACAAGTTAAGCTCCTGCGGGCAAGAGAAAGGTGAACCCACCCTGAGAAGTCAAAGGCAATGCGTCAGCAAAGGGACACGGATTCCAGCCCCTAAATCCTGCCCTGCTCTAAGGATAAATCTTCCTCATTGTTGGTGAGAAAATACTGAGCTTCCCTTGGCACTGAATTGATACCAATGCAAATTTCTTCCTTCTCAAAACCACTGCAGCTGTAGCGGGTGCTGATTTGAATAGCACAGGGTGAGGCGCAATATTTATTGTGCTCAGCCAAGCAGAAAGCCAAGCTCCAAACCATCAGCAAAGATAAGTTCTTCAACCTAAACCATCTTCTCCCCATAAGTGCAGGGAGAGTGGTTTGATGGGGTGGCTTTGCTCGCTGGTGACCGTGACCCTGCATCCGAGCGGTCCATGCCATGCTCAGCAGTGTTGTCACCTCGTGCCCTCCCCAGGTAAATAACAACCCTTATCTCCTCATCTCTCCCCTGCTTCCCCAAAATCAGCTATTGCACAAAATGGATCACATGAGTTCCGCTGAGAAGCCCGTGAAGAACTGCAGTCGGCTCCAGACATGGTATAAATCACAGAGACATCCCAACGGCTATAAAGTCTTCGGCTGACCAAGCTGCAGCGACAGGAAAGCTTCTCAGCCTGTGCAAAGAGCAGAGATTGGGATCCCAGGCAACAAACCAGGTCAGTGAATGGCTTGGAGTGCTTAACTCGCTTTGTTTCAGGCTTTGCGTGGGGAATCAATGAAGTCCCAAGCTTGGCATGGGCAAGGGGGTTGAGAGGGAGCGATAGCAGAGATAGCTCACACCCTTCTTGCTGGAACTGGTGTAAGCCATGACGTGATGTTCCAAAGATTCCCAGGGCTTTCTTACCTTACAGTGGTGTGTTCCCAGCCAGGAAGTACAACATTTCTCAGTGTTTAGTGGTTGACATTAAGAAATCAAACCACCTTGGCCACCTGCCCCAGGATATTTGATCCCATGAGTGCCTTTCTACTTGCTTTTTCAATACCCACCTAAACGTTGTGTGGTGAATTAGGCAGCCTTGTTAAACTGAGCTGGGACCTCCCCAGCCAAAAGCATCTTGAGCAAGAGCACAGCCTTCAGGGAACCAGGAAGAGAAAGGTTGGAAATGAGCTCATCCCTCTTTTTGCGCTCCCTGTCTCAGCCTTCCCCATTCCTTTGGTACGTCCTCTGCTCCTCATCACATCCTGCTTTGGTCCAGCCCTATTCAAAATGAAGCGACTCCTTTCACTCATGGGACTCTCCTCCCAACAGCACTAACCCTCAGCTAAAGCATTGGCTGAACCATGACCGAAGAGCCCATGCGGAAGAGCAGTGAGATCGGACACTCCACCTCCAGCATGGGCTGCGGACACAAGGATGACAAAGCCAGCCTGGCCTCCAGCCAGAGAGCCTCTTTCAGCCACCAGCCCCATCAGCCTCCCTCCACTCCTGCCTCCAAGGAAGTGTGGAAGAAGGGCGGCCGCATGTTCTCCATCCTGCTCGCGGTGCACTTGGCGTTGCTGGCCTGCACGCTGGTGAGCAGCGGGGCTTTCGAGAAGATCGCTGTGCATGACTACGATGTCTTCTTCCTGCTGACTGTCATGATGCTTGTAGTCATTGTATGGATCATCTTCTACCTCTTTGGCACCTCCCGGTGCCCGGACGCCATCCTCTGCAAGGACTCCCATGCTGGGCCCATCTGGCTGAGAGGTAGGAGCTCTCGGGGGGTGGGATGGGTCGAGGTGCAGGGTGGAGAGTTCATGGGGGTATCAGTTATTACAGCATCCATCTGGGGCGCATCCTCCTCCGGCGCTGGGGCACCATGCCCTGCTTCAGAAGGTGAGCTCAGTCCTGCCACTGGTTTTATTACCAGGCCTCCCATTATCTGCAATAGCTCTGGGTCCTTTACACCAGGTTCCTTCCAGCCTTACCATTGCTTTTACAAGAGCTGTCAGTCCCAGCCAGACTGAAAATCCCTTCCAGGCAAAATGAGTCTGTCACTGCCAAGATAATTTGGGTACCGGGAGAGGAAAAACAAGTAGAAGCAAAGCCTCTCCGTGGCAATAGTCCCTCTTCATCTCATCTATCTGCATTAGCCCCCATGAGCATGCATCCGGTCACAGATGTTTTGGTTCCTCAACAGGAGGCCTGATCCTGTTTGCCATTTTCAGCCTTGTGATGGATGTGTTCAAAATAGGATACTACTCAAGCTTCTACAGCTGCCTGTCTGCAATCAAAATAATCTACCCCATTGTGCAAGCAATATTTGTGGTCGTCCAGGTAAGACGGTTGTGCACTGTCTGAGGGAGGGGTAAAGAGCCAGAGCCACCAGTGGAAGCTGGAGCTCTCACCTCATGGACATAGTTCAACTCCCCCTGCAAATGGAAGTGGCCTCACTCAGCCCTTACCCAGCTCATGTCATCCAACCACAATAGCTTCTAGCTGTGGCAACTCACTTTAAGGCATGGGTTTAAACTTGTTCCCATCCTGTGACATTCTGGCTTATGGCAGGATGCTTGTCACAGTCTGCATCCATCCGGGCCTCTTTTCCCATGAGGAGCAGAGAGGGAGGAGGACAGTCAGGGCAGGGACTGCCTTGCAGTTTGAAGTCCTGCATAGAGGACCATCTGCTCTGGGACAACACCAAGCAGAGAACAGGTCAGATAGGGACAATTTTGACAGAAACAGGGCCTGGCCATGGGAAGAGCAATGGCAGTGGGACAGGGCAGGAGAAGTGAAGAAAGAACAGACCGCATCCACCAAAGGGCCAAGATTATGGGTTAGTGGGCTGGGTGCAGGTGGAACCAAGCAAGAGAGGCTCCAGCTTGCTCTCTGCTGGGCAGGGAGATCTCTGCTTCAGAACAATGTGGTTTGCTTGCTTGCTGTGTTGGAAATAACAACTCCTCTTCTCACCCCTGCCAGACGTACTTCCTGTGGGTCTCTGCCAAGGACTGTGTCCACGTGCACCTGAACGTCACCAGGTGAGCACTGATGCTCTTTGAATCCCACTGACCCAGAAGAACCTGGGTCACTGCAAACCTGCTGTGTGCTCAATCACACAGCTAAGGTGCAGCAAGGGGATAATCCCATCTGCCTTAATCCTGGGCAAACCTAAACCCCATCAGTCTCCAACCAGCCTTAGATCCCAGCTCCAGTGGTTGAGGTTTATAACCTATGGATGTAGCAGGGTTGGGATCCAATTCAAGAGTCCAAACATTACTTAAAGCAGATTGGTATTAACTAAAGAATTAGGATTAAATGATTCACAGCTGACTTTTGCTTCCATGGGGAAGATAACGATGCAGTGGGCAAGCCTCAGCCTAAAACAAGATCCAGTTTTGCAAGACTGGATCTACTGGAGCCCAATCCAGACCTGTTTATCTATTCACTATTGAGAAGCTCTTCCACAGGCAGCAAGAGGAATCAGGTCTTTCTAATTCTCATGAGCACGGACCAAAAATAGGCAGAGAACTACATGGCCTAGAGCAAATGCTTTGATTTCATAAGCCTTCTTCTTCTGCAGGTGTGGCTTGATGCTAACACTGACTACAAACTTAGCGGTGTGGATGTCAGCAGTGACAGATGAGTCTGTTCACAAAGCACATTCGAAGCTGAAGAAGAATGTGACAGATGAAATCTTCAGGTGGCTTTTGAAAGGTAATTTGCCCATTTGTGGAGCCATCTCATCCAGGGAAGGAGCCCACGAGGTAGAAATTGTTCTGCAAGTCTGGTTTTACCCCTATTCAGGAGGCCTGTCGAGAGCTGAAGGCTCATTTAATTAAGCTGGTATGTTAAGAGACAGGTCCTAATGTTCATGTCTTAATCTGTATCACAGTGGAGTCACAAAGGTGGAAGGTTCTGTACAAATAGGATGGGAATGAAGGGAAGGAAAAGAGAGATATTTAACCTGCACCTAACCAGAAAGATCGTGAGCACCAGAAAGCTGAGGTTGCAATGTCCTTGTTTTCAAAGTGATCACATATTACAGTATCACAGTATCACAGTATGCTAGAGATTGGAAGGGACCTCAAAAGATCATCTAGTCCAATCCCCCTGCCGGAGCAGGAACACCTAGATAATGTTACACAGGAATGTGTCCAGGCGGGTTTTGAATGTCTCCAGGGAAGGAGACTCCACAACCTCCCTGGGCAGCCTGTTCCAGTGTTCTGTCACCCTCACTGAGAAGAAGTTTCTTCTCAAGTTTAAGTGGAACCTCTTGTGTTCCAGTTTGTACCCATTACCCCTTGTCCTATCATTGTTTGTCACTGATATTCTTCTGTTTCTTCTGTCCTTGGCCTTGTTTTTCACTGACCCTGAGCATCCAGTTCTTCAGGGCTGCTAACAAGTGCTGGTTCTTGTTTTCATACCACTGCATCCGTGTGTTTCTGTCTTGTTCCAGCGGGAATGAGAAGTAGCTCACCTGAAGAATGCAATTGCAACAGCCAAATCTGCCAGGTCTTCAAGAACGGCTACTTCTGGCTGTACCCCTTCAACATCGAGTACAGCCTCTTTGCCTCTGCCATGGTCTATGTCATGTGGAAGAACGTTGGGCGCTTCATAGACCACCACTCCCACCACGTTCACCACCTGAAGTTCAGGCTCTTCCGAAGGACCTTCTTTGTAGGCATTGTGTTGGGCCTCATCACTCTGGTGAGTGGTTTGGGAGTCCTCATTCTTTACGAGGTGCAGGTAAATTCCAGCACTGAATCCAGCAAGAAGAGCCAAGCCCTCTCCATGTACTACATCTTCAACATTGTTTGTCTGGGGCTGATGTCTCTTGTCTGCATTGGCGGCTCTGTCATCTACCGGTTTGACAAGAGAGACATGGATCGGCACAAGAACCCAACCAGGACCCTGGACGTGGCCCTGCTCATGGGTGCAGCCTTGGGGCAGTACGCTATTTCTTACTATTCCATCGTGGCCATCGTAGCCAGCACACCAAGGGACGCTATCAGCGCGCTCAACCTCACCTATGCCCTCCTCATGATTGCTCAGCACACCTTCCAGAACATCTTCATTATCGAAGGCCTCCATCGGCAGCCCCCCAAGGAGGACCACAAGCATGATTCCCACCAGAAGGATCTCTATGGACTCACCTTTGTCAACATCAGTGCCGTGTCCCTCCGGATGCCAGACAGCGGCAGCACCCTGGCCCCTAGCACTGTCTCTGGCTCAGAAGCCATCCATCCTTCCGACCTCGTGAGGTCCCTCACTGCTCCCAAGAAGATGAACTGGAGGAGGAAGTTCTTAAAGGAGATCTCCATGTTCCTCCTGCTGAGCAATATCATCGTGAGTACCTGCAGGGGGAAGAGTTTGTCGGGGTGGGGGAGAGGGAAGCAAGCACAAGAGAGAAGTGTCTGGGAAGGAAAGGATGCAGCCCTTGCAAATCAGGTCCTTTCTGTGCCTTCCCTGCACAGAGAGCACACTTAGATTTGTATGTGCAGACAGCTGATATTCCCTTGTCACTTAAAAGCAAGAGCGACTGCCTCGGAGCTAAGACGTTTTAGGCTACACCAGCATGACCAGACGATAAAATCAGTGGGTACAAGAGCAGAATCAGGTTTAGTATTTCTTAGTGGGTATTAGCAGATATGCAGAATAGTTTATTAAAAGCAATAAAATACATTAAACCCTTCCCTTAGATCCCCAAAGAAAGGATAGGAAGGGACAAATACCTGGGGTGAAGTCTGGGTTTTCTTGAGAAATGGCAGCACATCTCAACATCCATGGCTTAGGAGCCCAGCTGCTGAGCCCAGCTGCTGTGAGGAGCAATCGGACAACTTCAGCTGGGGTTTCCACGTCCAGGGGACCACAGTTCCCTACAAAAGAAACGTAGGGTTACAGCTGCACCTCCAGAGAAGCCAAGCACATGCTGTGCCTCTAGAGACCCTCGGCTAGTCAGTCACATCATGTCTCCACACTGATCTGACGCTTATGCTCACAGAGGATGAGCTGACAACCCTCATGCAGCTACACACACACACCGGCTGGGCTGCTGAGCAAGGCACACACAACGGAGCCTAAGGTGCTGCCAGCTCAGCCTTGCATCCCCTTGCTCCATCCAATGAATTCGGTGAGGCCAGACTCAGGCTCACACACAACGGGCTCAAGCTCTCCCCCTGGTGAGTGCTTCAGCGCTTGGTTCGAGCCGGTCTCTGAATCGAAAGCGAGCTTAGATCATACATCACCATAGAATCACAGAATGGTTTGGGTTGGAAAGGACCTTAAGATCATCCAGTTCCAACCCCTGCCATGGGCAGGGACACCTCACACTAAACCAGGGCACCCAAGGCTCTGTCCAACCCGGCCCCGAACACTGCCAAGGATGGAACATCCACAACCTCCCTGGGCAACCCATTCCAGTGCCTCAGCACCCTTACAGTAATGAACTTCCTCCTTATATCCAATCTAAACTTCCCCTGTTTAAAATATATGTATATACACACGTTATATATATTATATAGTGTTTTATACACTAAATAAAAGCCTTCTTCAGAACTAAAGTCTTAGTGGAAGCACAGGCTCCTACCATGCTCAGGTCTCTCTCAGTAGCTGTGATTGCGGGTGCTTGCCGCACCGCTCCCCTTCCTCACTGCAGTGCCATTCTGTTTCCTCCAACAGCTCTGGATCATGCCAGCCTTCGGTGCCCGGCCCCAGTTTGACAACGACACAGAACTGAACTTCTATGGTGACTCCATGTGGCCGGCCATCGTGGATATTTGCCTGCCATTTGGGATCTTCTACCGAATGCATGCGGTGGCCAGTTTGCTGGAGGTCTACATCATGTCCTAAAGAACTCTCTCGCAAGGAAGATGCGATCCTCCTCAACCAATCTGCCTTATTCCTTACCCTGGGGCTGATGTCCCCAGGGGGTCCCCCAGCACTGCCTGAATCGTGTCCCTTTGCAGTGTTGGGGCATTTATGAATCGCCAGTGCAGATCATCCAGACATAGTCCAGATTCTATTTTTGCTACTCGTGCGTGGATGTGCATGCGTGTGTGTGTGTGTGTGTGTGATGTTCTTAAAGCTCCAAAGATAAAGCAAGGAAGGTGTCCACAACAGGGTCATGGTGATTACCCTTGGTTCCTGCAGAGACTCACCTTCCTGCTTAAAAGCCTGTTCACTCCATGCCATTGATGGACCCTCCAGTGGGTGCTTGGCCCCCTTGGACACTCAGTGCCTGCCTGAGGGGCTAACACAGGCGTGGAAGGCAAAGAAATGAAACTACTTCAGCTTCTGGTATGGCCAGTCAGAAATCACTGCCCTGCAGAGATGTGAAAACCAAACCAGTGACCACCAAAGGCTTTGGGAATCCTTTTATTCCTTCCTCTCTGTATTACCCATTTACATTGACCTTCCCTGTACCAGCCTCTGCTGTTTTCCTTCCTCTCCAAGGAGGCATCACTCTTCCCAAGGGGCAGGTTGTACTACAGGAGAGTTGTGCATGTGGTCCTGGGCTGGCCCTGATAGAGGATTGCTCTAAGCACACTTTTTATCCCAGTTTTCCTGAATCAGGGCTCAAGAAGCATAAAGCTTGTATGGGCAATGTAGAGTGGGGAATGTTCAAGAGATTGGGTTTCTGTTTTTTTAAATAGATAATGATTTTTTAAAATACCTGAACATTTTTGTATGTTATTTATTGATTTTCACTGCAACTCTGACCTCCTGAGGGGACCTGCTACACCCTGCGACTCAGAACTCAACCCAATGCCATGGCAAATTTGGTCTCTGAAGGGATGCTTGTGCTGCATCCTCAGCCCTGTGCGTGCTCTGGGGCTGTGAGCACAGCCCCAGGACATGGAGCAATGGGGCCCCAACACAGGTGTCTGGGTGCCTGCAGCTCTCCATGAACCACTCTATGATGGAGGGGGCTTCCAGAGCAGGACTCTTGGGCTTTGGGAGGTGGAAATGGCCCCAGAGTCCAAGTGGAGCCCATTCTGTTGGGTGTCAAAGCGGAACGGATGAGCTTTCTGTGTACCCTGAGACATGGGGGTTTGCTGTTCCAATAAAGGGTTTATTGTCCTATCAGGGGTTATCATCCCAATAAAGAGCACTGCAGAGGTGGCAGAAATCATCAAGCCTTTGCCTATGGACGTGTGTGCATCCACCAAGGGAATAATCCCATTGAAACCACGGCACTTGACGTGGAGCAATGCAGTTTCCCACCCGGCATCCCAGACTGCCGGTTCACGCGCTCCAAAGCACCTTTCCCCTCCACACCCATCACCAAACCAGCAGGGACCGGTGCCTGCGCTGGTCTGACCCCGCTCCCAGCCCCACCGACCCTGCAAAGGCCTCGCTCTATTTTTAACCATTGATCTGGTGAAGATAAAGGAAACTTCACCTTTCCTAAGACAAAAGCCTGATTAATTTCAGCTGCAGGAGCCCCGGATTGAGTCAGGAGGGAGACGTAAGTGGCACACAGACGTCAGCCTTACGTACACCCCTGCACATTGTTTCAGCCCAAGCTGCTGGGCTCTGACAGGGGCAGAGAGCACGTGTAATCACCTGCTCCATCCTGGGCTTTCCCCTGTGTGCTGGTGCTTGGTTCCAGGCTCTCTGGGCAGTAACTATAGGAGCGCATCTGGGGTTAAATAACCCAGGATGGGTGTAAGGAGAACCCCACAGGAGCCCAAGCAGTGCTGATACAGGCAGGAATCCCAAATCAACCACTCCAGGGTGGTGGGTCTGTAGCAAACACAATGCACAGCCACAAGCAATGGTACTGGGGTAAACCAATGGGGAGCCCTTGCTGACCTGAGGCATCTCCAGGCTGCAAGTGCAGGGATGATGGGTTTCCAAACAAGAGCTGCATTCCTGTGCCCTTCAGCCACATCCATGCACCTTGGGAAGGCAGCAGACAGGGAAGCAGCCATCAGTGAACCGTGCCTATATACCCAAGAGAGGGGACAGAGGGAAAGTGAGCACCCACAAGTCCAGAAGGCAAAATCCCAAGCTGTTAGAAAGCACTGCAAGCATGGACCCTGCTATGTGCTCCAGGGTTGTCTATTAGGATCTATCAGCTCATGGTCAGTTAATGTGCAAAGGGCTGATGGAGAATCAACCGAACACCCCTGGGCAACTAACTCCTCAATGCAGCCAGTGTCCCAGGCTCGGCACCCAGATTTGGGTGCATCCCTGGAGCAGGCTCTGCTCCATCCTGGTTGCATGGGTTCATGCCCTCCCTTGGGACTCTGCATTGCCGGGATGCTGGCACCGATGCTGGCTGCTCCATCACTACCCCCTTCACTACGGATCCAGGACACAGCCCAGTTAAAGAGGGGGACATCTCTCCCTCACAGAGTTTTATGGATCAGGAGAACCCCCTAAGCACAGAGTACCTGAGTAACATGAAGGGGTCCCGCTTTGTTCTTTGTACACACGTCTTCATGACAGTCCCCTGCGGAAAAGCACTGCTGTTGGATCCATCTTCCATGCCTGGAATGAGGGAAACTGAGGCACGGGAGCTGCATGAACAGAAAGCCTGTGTCAGAGCAAAGAATGCGGTTGGGCCCTGAGGCCACCAGCAGCATCCTGCTGACTGCTCCTGCCATTGCATCAGCGATGGAGCAGAGATCAAACCCGCACAAGGGGATGGGGAATGGGGACAATGCTGTGCCTTGAGGTGACCGTTTAAACGGTAGCCCTTCAAATAGAGAGCTACAGGAAAGCAAAGGGCTGCCCTGGGGCTCTCCCATGTTGCCTGGAGCTTTCACTCTCGTATGCTTTGGTATCAAAACCTCCTTGGCCTCCCAGGGATCTGAGCACTTGCTGTGCTGCAGGGGTATGGGGCAAGCACTGAACCCCACCAGTAGGAACCACAGAAAGGAAAGAGACAAAGAGCAGAGGAGAAATCACTGCTCAGGAAAGAGCCGGGGAGGCCACAGCCAAGGTCAGGACTGAGTCACCGTCCCACCGCGACCAGGGTTTCCCATCCCCTCCTCTGCTGCTGACTCATCTGTTATTTGAGGGCGAGTTTTGTTTTATTAGGTGCAAAAAGATAAATAAACGTTTTATCTGGGTGATTGGGTGCGAGGCGTGCCCGGGACAGGCCAGGAATCTGAGTTAATCATTATCTGTCCGCGCGGCAGGTGGGAAGTGGATGCATGGAGGAGGTCACAAGGCTGGAGATGAGGGTTTGCAGCACCAGCACTGGCTCTCTGGAGCGCTGGGAGCCAGGGCAGGAGGTGCTGGTGGAGGAGGCACATCCCCCGGAGCAAGGTAATGGTTCTTACCAACAAGGAGCAGCTCGACGGTGGCAGGAGGCTGAAGGGACCTGCTTTGAGGACCACCGGGTCCATGCTTCATGAGCAGAGCCGGCGCATCCCCATTGGAGCCCATGCGGTGCTGGGGTGCTGCAGCCCGGCTCACCTCCTGCTGCTCACGGTCAGGGTGCTGCCGTGGAGAGACGTCACCATGCAGTTATCGGAGGAGAAGGAAGGGTGTGAGCTGGTCCCGGGGCTCGTGGTGGCCTTTGGGCAAACACAGCGGCTGGGCATGAACCTCCTTCCTCCCAGGGTCCTGTTGACAGATCCGCTTGGCCCAGCCTGGGTGCTATCACCGCTTAAGTGCACAGATAAAGCCATTAATAAGCACGCTGCTGATAGCAGAGGGGCAAACATCGCTGCTACTGTAAGCAGCTTTCTCCCAGCCCGTGGGTAAAGGCAGCTTCTGCAGGGCAGTGATTTATGTGCTCAGTCAATGCAGTGAGTTCAACTCATCCTCTCCCTTCCCGCCCCTCTCCTGCGCACTTGCTTGCTCAATGACTTGGTTAAACTTGTGTCAACACACTCAAGTTAAACAGCTTCTCTCCTTCAACAGAAAGGCCACATTAGGACGATTAAGCAGTCTCCCAGGGCTACACAGCTCTTTTGGATTCACTTTTAGCTCCAGAGACAGAAGAGAGCAAGGCAGGCAAGGAAGGATGCCGCATCTTTGCAGCCCAGATGCTTGTTGGCAAAACCACGGGGGCACAACAGGCCCCAAAGTCTTATTTCAGCCCCATCCTTAAAGGAATGTGGCTCTATGGAAAACCTCCAGGTTCACAGATATATTCAGACTCCTGCATTCTCCTGGAGAAACCGGCTATTCATGGCTTGGGAGGGGGTACTGTTCACTGAGGGAGGAACTGGCTGGATGGCAGAGCCCAAAGAGTGCTGGTGAATGGAGTTAAATCCATTCAATATATACGTGTTCCATACATACAGGTGGTGCTCCCCAGGGCTCAGTGTTGGGGTCAGTTCTGTTTAAGGTCTGTATCAATGATCTGGATGAGGGGATCAAGCGCACCCTCAGTGTGACATCCAGTTGGGAGCATTGATCTGCTGGAAGGTAGGAAAGCTCTAGAGAGGGATCTGAACAGGCTGCCGCAATGGGCTGTGGCCAGTGGGATGAGGTTCAACATGTCTCAGTGCTGGGTTCTGCACTTGGGTCACAACAAATCCCTGCAATGCTCCAAGCTTAGGGAAGAGCAGCTGGAAAGTTGCTTGGCAGAAAAGGACCTGGGGGTGTTGGCCAACAGAAGCAGAACATGAACCAACGTGTGCACAAGTAGCCAAGAACCCACCAGCATCCTGGCCTGGATCAGCACCAGTGCGGCAGCAGGACCAGGGCAGGGATTGTGCCCCTGCACTGGGCACTGGTGAGGCCGCACCTCCAATCCTGTGTTCAGCTCTGGGCCCCTCACTGCAAGAGAGACATTGAGGTGCTGGAGCGGGGCCAGAGAAGGGAATGGAGCTGGAGCAGGGCCTGGAGCCCAAGTGTGATGGGGAATGGCTGAGGGACCTGGGGGGTTCAGTGTGGAGAAGAGAAGGCTCAGGAGGGACCTGATGGCTCCCTACAAGTGCCTGAGAGGAGGATGGAGCCAGGAGGGGCTGGGCTCTGCTCCCAAGGAACAAGGGATGGGACAAGAGGAAACGGCCTCAAGCTGCACCAGGGCAGGTTTAGATGGAGCTGAGGAACAATTCCTGCCCCAGAGGGTGCTCAGGCATTGGAACAGGGCAGGGCTGCAGTCACCATCCCTGGGGGGGTATTTAAAAGCTGTGTGGCTGTGGCACATAGAGACATGGGTTAGTGATGGCCTTGGCAGCGCTGGGGAGCAGTTGGACCAAATAATCTTAAAGGTTCTTTCCAACCTATAATTCCAGGCCTCCATTTCCCAGTTCTGCACGGTCACCCCAATTTAGAACCACAGCACTGAAAACCAGTCAGGTTTGTTAATGTCTTGCATGTAAATCATTGAGTTTGTTCAATGCAGACACCACCAAACAGCTCTTGGGAGACCTCAGATCATCGTTTAGCTCTAGAATGGGGGCTGGAGGAAGGAGAGCTCTATTGCTTCCAGAGCATCAAAGCAAGGACAGGGCTCTCCAAGCAAGCTGGAGCTGCTGATGCTATGGGGAAAGGCAGAACAAATCTGGCTCTGGGTATTCATGGAAACCAACCCAGGTCCGTGCCCTGGCTCCAGCAGAGCAGTGCAGGGCTTTGGGCAGGCAGTCAACGCAGCGGCTGGACCAGCGCACTCTGGGTGTTCTCACCCAGGGCAATGGGCCCCTTTCACTCTTGTTTTCCATCCCTTTCGTCACATCCCCACGCACGATAACCCGTGCTCCACCACCCACTCCTGCCCCTAATCAGCCTCTGAGAAAGGGTTTCATGGCTCTGAACTCCCAATAACCTGTTTGCCATCGAGAACCACAGGGCTTGGGGTTCATCCTGGGACACGCAAACTGCTTCCGTGGAGAGCCCCATCCGCTCCTGATGGACCCCCTGGGCTCACCAAGTCAGCCAGGAATGCCAAGTCCTCCATCGCCAACAACAAAAGCAAGGGGGTCAGCTCACCATAGAGTCATAGAAATCAGTTTGCCCCACAACAGGAGAGGGAACAGAGACAGCCTGGACCTAACGCATCCTTGACATGAGGGTTTGCACACAAGGGTCCATATGTGAACTCAGCATTAGTAGGTTGTGGCTATCACCCCCAAAAGAAGCAACCTCTCTGCCAAATTGGCATCACCCCTGCATGAGTTTTGCATTTTGGGTCAATTTGGGTATCTGTGCCCTGGGTAAAAGCAAAAAGTAATGGTACACTGGAGGAAAAAACCCTTAGGATCTACCTAAACCCAATGGAGTGGGGAATGCGAGTGGATTTCAGCCAAGCACTCCCAGCTCAAGCCTGTGCCAGGAGGCTCAGGCGAGAAGGGAGCTAATCGTGGCACACATTAGTCACCACAGCTCTGTGGGTTTACCAACTGGCACATCCTGTGCCAAGGCCCTTGGCATGGGGCAACGCAGCAAGTGCACAAAGGAGCTGATCCCCATTGGCTGCCCTTGGCAGAGCCGAGAGCTTCTCACTGAGTAATTAATGTAATGACAATAATAGACCCAGAGTAAACAAGGTGGAAGGGAAGGAGGAAAAAAATCAATGGGTTGGGAGCAGAGGCCACGTTCAGCCGGAGCAGCCCCAGCTCCCAACAGCTCCGTCCTGGCTTCCTTGGGCTGCTGCAAAGGCTTGGGAGCATCCTGGTGGCACTCGGGGAGTGGTTTGACCATCGGCTGTACCCAGTGGCTGGAGGTAAGGGCTGGGGCTTGGCACGGCTTCGGGATCAAGGGGCTGGGTGCAGCCTGTTCCAGGCACTTGGGGTCCCCCTGATGGGTTTGCAGCTGTGATTTATGGCTTCTCCTCTCCCTCCCCTGACTGCAAAGCAGGGGAGTTAAAGCCATAGGGGAAGGGAGGGAGTTTGCTCCTGTGCTACTCAGTTCAGAGAGTTTCGGAATCAAATGGGGAAGAGTTGAGGATCAAGCTGCACTGACAGAAGTGCAGTGAACACCCAGGGACCAAAGGGAGATGGAGCACCTCAGAGCACGGCAAAATAAGAGGGAAACATTCCATCTCAACCCCTTCTCAGACAACTTCTACCCTTAAAACCCTATTATATATTATATATATAAGACAACTATGTACATATATTTCCCTCAAACACATCTCAGGGGCTGCTTTCCCTCCAGCCATCCCCTACCACAGGGTCACTCCCTGGAGTGAAAGCATCTTTCCTTATGCTATATGTATAAGAGAGGCTGATCTTACCTGGTTGCTGTGTGTGATCAAATTGATTTCTCTCTCATGGGCAATATGGTCCTAACTGAGATGATTCCAAAAGCTGGATAGAAAAGCTCCCAGCCTCTGGATGTCGACTGGGCCAATCCCTCAAGCTCCTCTGTGTCGGTGTGCCCATAGCTCTGTGTTACAAGTAGAATAAGAACAACTAAGCAGGTATTAACTTTGCCCCTGGTGTCATCCCATCCGGGTGGGAGGCTGGAGCTTTCCCCAGCAGTTTAGATCAAACCCACAGACCTCTTCATCCTCTCCAGCTCTGCCATCGTTTGTGCACCATACAAGAAGCGTGCTGGAACCCAGTCCAAAACCACACGGGAGAGGTTGGAGCCATCAAACACAACCGAACTCTTTGAGTTTTGGAGCAGGTCCGAGCTTGCTCTGTGCATCCGCCTCATCCTTACAGCGACAAAGGGAAAGGAGGAAACCTGAACCCAGGGCTGTCAAAGGTGAGTGTGGGAGCTGTTTGGGTGCTTCTGGTCCCAACAGCTTCCAGCAGTGGTGGGGCAAGGCGGAGACATCAAATACCCATTTCAGTGCAGGTATCTCTGCACAGCTTTTGGCAGAATCATGGAATCACAGAATAGTTAGGGGTGGAAAGGACCTTAAGATCATCCAGTTCCAACCCCCCCGCCATGGGCAAGGGCCACCCCACACTAAACCATGTCAGGGCCTTTTCCCAGTGCCTTGCAATGACTCTGCCCACCAAGAAGTGTTTAACACCGAATCTGGGCTAAACACCAATCCCTTTGCCCCCTCATCCTCTTGGAGCAAGGAGGGGAAGCTGCAAAGCACGGAATGGAGGTCACCCCACAAGTGGCTTTACAGCAGAGCGCAACCTCTCCTCTCCGCGTGTCCCCCTCCAACCTTTCCTGCTTTAACCCCCCCTTTGCTCAGCAGGCAGATGAGCCATGTCAGGCAACAAAGTCTCCAAGCAGAAGTCCTGCCAGCACTGCAAGGACAGGTCAGCGTCAGCTCCACACGACACCTCCACCATCCACTACGAGAAGTTCTGGCTGTACCGGCACTGCTCCTCGGTGCAGCAGCGGGACAGGCAAGCCCAGAAAGCAGGGCAGCTCTTCTCAGGGCTGCTGGCCATGAACGTGGTGTTCCTGGGCAGTGCCTTTGTCAGCAGTATGATCTTCAACCACGTGGCCATCACCCTGGCGGATGTCTGGATCCTGCTCTCCATCCTCAAGGTCTTGTGCCTGTGCTGGATTATCTACTATCTGCTGGGTACCAGCCGGCAGCCCCATGCGGTGCTGTACCGGGATTCCCATGCGGGGCCCATGTGGATTAGGGGTAAGTTCTGCTTTTGTTCATCACCTCGGGCCTTTCCCCTGCTTCCCTGCACTTAGAAGATAAAGAAATGCTTCTACTAATAAAGCTAGGAAGCCACAGAGGATTGTAGTTAGGGCATTGGGAACCTCCCAGTGGGGAGATTGGGATAGGCTGGGGAAGGCACTAGCATAGTGATGCCACAGAGGAACCAGAGCAGCCAGGAGTCCTTCACCCTCCAGCCCAATTTCACCCTGTGGTCCCCTCCCAAAGCACAACTCGGGCATCTCCCACCAGCAACTGAGCAGCATGGCAGAGATGTAGGGAAGGTTTTAGCATGGCCACTTGGCACAGTGGGAGCAGAACCACCATGTTTACCCTCCCAGGGCGTCAGCAGCCCCGTGCCACCCTCGTCCTTGTTTAACATCACTGCAGCCTTGTATCCAGGGGAAGATTCCTGCCCCGTGAGTCACATCCCAGTGACACCCAGGCTTTCCTGGGAGATCTCCCATCAGTGGCTGCCCCACTTTGTGAAGTGACACTTGTCCCAGCAGCCCTGCCTCTGCTCATGATGGAGTTTCTAATTAGCGCAGTCTTGTTAACTAAGCACGGAGAACTGAAGGAAACAAAGCTGCAACGTGCCCGAGTACCTAAAGCTGCAGGGAGGTGTCCAAGGTGAAGGAGAGGAACAATTAAAAGGTCCTAACTTCTGCGGACTGGTGCTGCCAAAACCACAACCAGGTTCAGCTACCGGGCTCCCCTTTGTCTCTTCCTCCACAGATAATAAGAATTCCACATGGGAAAGCCTCCAGCTCCGAAGGTGCACGAGGTTTCCAGTCCCCAGCCAGGCCCAGGTGCTCCACAGACATGTCTTCATTTATTTACTGGTGTTTCTGCTGTTTGCCAGGGTCAGTGCTGCTCTTCGGCATTTTCAGCATCCTCCTGAACACATTTCATATCGGCTACAGCGCGGTCCTCATCCAGTGCAAATCCAGGGTGGAAATCGTGTTCCCCAGCATTGAAATCCTTTTTATTTGCACCCAGGTACTGCACGTTACCCTCCTGGACTCCTGCTTATTCCCTCTGTCCCATTCCCGGGAGATAGGGGTGGGGAAAATGGGGACACCTGGGGAATTGGGTGCACACGAGGCATTCCCATGAGCATTAAAGCATCACGCACCACCACGCTCCTCATGTGCCAGGTGGAGAATGAAGTAATAAGGCTTAGAAAGAAATCACCCCAGCAATACCTGACGTGCTGCAGGATGCAGACAAATCTGTCTTGAAGCATCAAAGCAGGGAGAAAAGAGGAACCTTCAGATCTGCCAGAGATGTCTCTGCACCAGGCTGAGACCCAGCCTCTCTATTTGCTAATGCATCCCCCCCAACAAAGTGCTTTGTGCACAGAAACATCTCACACGCTTTGAACTCCGGTGCCAACCTTCTTTCCAGCCCCAAACCCACGTCTGCAAAGTAAACTCGCTCCCATCTCAGCAGCAAATACCACAGGGACAGAGAACAGCAGATCTCCTAGATCAGCACTAGGTGCAGGCACACACATGCTGCAGTCACACACGCCAGCACATGCCTCAGCACTGAGATGCAGGTGCACACATGCCACTTGCACAGAGACAGGGTTGGTCCCACTTGGACTCATGCCCTCTTGCCTGCCCGTCCCTTTGCACTGTGCATGCAGCAGGCTGCCAGCTTCACCCTGCTCATGTCATTGTTATCTATTTGCAGGCTTTTTTCCTGTGGCATCACTCCAAGGACTGCATTCAGGTGCAGCACAACTTCACCAGGTACAAAGAGGGGGGAAAACTGCCTTCTACTTCTCTAAAGAAACCCTTTCTGTCTGCTTATGATCTCCAATACTCCTGTCTTCATCTGGTCTCTCTATATTCTGTATCTGATTCTCTATATTCACACTCTGTATTCTGCATCATGCAAGAACCAAGCTGAGACTTGACCAGACCCATCCTCCTTCCACTCATCTGGGCTCACCAGCTCTCTTTGGTTTCTTCAGCCCAAGGCCCCACTTGAGCCTTGGACTGCAAAGCTCATTGCTCCCTCTTGACCCCAAATCCCTTCCTGCTGCACAGCTCAGGGACCAGCTCTATGGCTGGAGGAGGAGCTGGGGTGGCCTCCCCATTCCTCTCTCTTCTCTCAGGTGCGGGCTGATGCTGACCATAGCCACCAACCTCCTCCTCTGGCTCCTGGCCGTGACCAACGACACCATTCACATGGAGATCGAGTCTCAGCTGCGAGAGGTGGAGCAGCGATTTGCAGGCAAGGCTCCTCCTCACATCCCTGCTTGCGCCAGGCAACAGTCTTTGGTCAGGGATGCAGTTATCACAACCACTTCCCCCATATGTCACAGATTCCCTGTTACTGGAGCTTGTCTCAAGGAGATGGGCTGCAAGGGGAGAACCTCCTCACTTGGAGGGAGGTGTTCTGCTATGAAACCCTGGGACTGAGAGCTAGGAAAGGAGAAGCCCAACAACTGTTAGTATTTCTGCTCATGTTTATCTGTCAACTGCAAGCAAAAGCTTGACAGATTAGACCACGTTTGCTAAGCCCTGTTGTTCTGAACCCTCACAGCCTGAGGACCGAATGGTAATCACTGAACATCCTACTGATCTCTGGTTCTGAGATCCACAGACACAAGAAACTCCCACAGATAGCCATGAAATGCAGGCCATCTCCCTCCTAATTGTTGCCTTCCTCTTCTCATGCTCCAGGCAACGAGACTGTCTCATGCACATGCCCAAACACAACCATCTGCAAAGTCTTCCAGAAGGGCTACATCCTGCTCTACCCCTTCAACACCGAGTTCTGCCTCGTGTGCTGCTCCGTGCTGTACGTCATGTGGAAGAACGTGGGGAGACGCATCAGCCACCACCACGTCCCTCACATCAAGCACAAGTTCAAGCTGCAGGGGGTGGTCTTTGGACCACTGCTGGGTGCCATTGCTGTGATCATTGGGATCTGTGTCTTCATGATGTACCAGATCCAGGCCACCAGCTCAGTCCCGGACCGCCAGGTCTTTGTGATGTTTTATTCATACTACGTTGTACTCCTGCCCCTGATGAGCGTGGGTGCAGTGGTTGGGACGATCATCCATGCCTTGGAAAAGAAGGAGCTGGACACAGTGAAGAACCCAACTCGCAGCCTGGATGTGATCCTGCTGATGGGGGCAGCCCTCGGGCAGATCGGCATGTCCTACTTCTCCATTGTTGCCCTTGTAGCCACCGACCCCAGGGAGCTGCTCAACAGCCTCATCCTGTCCTATTCTGTCCTCCTCATCCTTCAGACCATCACCCAAAACATCTTCATCATTGACGGGCTTCACCGGCAGCCCTTAGTGGCAATAACCGAGGCCAGACGCACAGGACACGCCAGGCACCATGCAGCAGCTTCGGAGCTACGTGAGGAAGAGGAAACCACAACAGGCAGCAGACAGGGGCACACACACTCCGGCAAAGAGGAAGAAACAAAAGAAGAGCAGATCCATGAAGCCTGTGACCAGAGGCGACTGAGCATGCTGGAGCTGGGACAGGAGATCCGCAGAGCCTCCCTGTCCTATATCCACAGCTACTCTCACCTGAGCTGGAAGAGGAGAGCACTGAGAGAGATCTCATTCTTCTTGGTTTTGTGCAACATCATAGTAAGTACTGCTCTCTGCCTCGTCATAGCTTGGCTGAGCCAGCATGACCTGTGATAAAGATGTGCTCTCCTTGGCTTTCTTTTGGGCTATTCCAGACAGGAAACCTTTGCTCATCATGCTCCAACCCATGGTGAAGCAAGTCAAGGTTGGCTTTGCTGTTAACATCCCCACTCTCATAATTATAAGGCCTCTTTTGTTACCCAAAGAGTCAAATATGGCTGGGTTTCCTGGGTGCAGAAAGCTGATAAACCCTTAAGAGCCAAGATTTTAGCCTCTGAAAAGGTTATCTTAATCGGTAAGGGTGTTCCATGAGATAGGTGGAGGAAAGTGAGGCACCAGCAGTGAGGCTTTGTGAGTGTCCAGGATTCAAACTCACCCAATTCCATGCATTGCTCTCTGGGATCTTGAATCAGCATGGATCTTCACTGCAGCCTTAACACACTGAAAACGCATTGGCCAAGGAAACAGTGGAATTCTGTAGAAAGATGAAGCTGTCTGGGGCAGAATGAGCCTACCATTAGGAATTCAATAGGATTTGATTTATAGCCAGGTCTCAGCAGCATAACTGGGGGGGTTCCTTCTCTTCCCTGACAGGGAGACTCTGATACTCTTGCAACACTCCTACAATGACTTTAGCCAGTGCTGAGATCAGAGTGCAGGTAGGAGATGGTTTCTCATCCTCTCACTTTGCTCGTTTCCCCCCCACCTCTTTAGCTCTGGGTCATTCCCACATTTGGAGCTCACCCCGTCTTCGAGAACGGGCTGGAAAAGTCCTTTTACGGCTACTCCACCTGGTTTGCCATCGTGAACTTCGGCCTCCCCCTGGGGGTGTTCTACCGAATGCACTCCGTGGGGGGACTCCTGGAGGTCTATGTCACGGCCTGACCCACGCCGACTGCCACCAAGGGGCTGGGCTGAACTGGTGAACAAAGGTGCAGGAAGCAGCGGAGGTGCACATGGAAGCTGTGAGGGTTTTTCTCTCCAGCTTCTGCTTTGACTTCTCCTTGCGCAACCCCTCTGAGGTTCAGCAGAAGAGGAGGTTGGTTTTGTTACTGGTTTTATCATAGACTCAAAAGCCCCAAAACAAACTCTCTTGCTGCTCTAAGGAAGCCTGGCTGCTGGGACTTTAGTCTGCCAGTGGATGCTGCATGGCAGCAAGTAGGGCTTGACCAGCTCCTACTGAAATCTTCCAGAACACAAAAGCAGCCTTCAACCAAAGCAACAAAGACTCACCCACACTCCATAGACCTTTAAATACCCACAGTCAAGCCCCACCAGCCCCAGAACTGCTCAGCAACCTGCCATCCTGCAGCACAGGAGAGACATGTCACCACCAGCCCCACTAGAAGCAGATACAGCCACAGCCACTCAGAAATGACCCAAACACACTTTGTGTGTCATATTCAAAAAGCAGCTGGTAGCTGCTTTAATGGTCACAACAGGGACTGTTTGTTTGCTCTTGGTGCTGGCAACCACATCAACTTGTGCAAGCCCTGTAGGATCCAGCCCCACAGTAGCTCTCAGCACTGAAGAACAGGGCAGGCCTTTGGACCTGCAGTGGTTCAGCACATCATCTCCAATTATCAAACCCAGAAGCTGTAACTTTACCTTCCCTTAGTGAGAATAAACTCTTTCTCCTTACAGGCACTCACAGAGCCTCAAATGAAAAGCCCCAGAGAAGCACTAGATCTGATCACTAGGGCTTGCTGCTGCTCATACACAGTGTTAGCACCAGTGGGTACTAGCAAAGGTCCCATCCTTGCACACACAGCTGGTTCAAGAGCTACTGACAGACCCTCAGTGAATCCCTCCCTACCCCAGCACTTCAATCCCACTGCTGCTTTGCACTCCCATGACCATTTCACAAGGTGCACTGTAAGGGAACATGTGCACAGCCTGATCAAAGACCCATCAGCACTTGGTCTGCAGGAGATGCTTTGAAAGCACGTGGAAGAGCAAAGGGGCTTGTGACTATGAGTCCAAATACAGAGCCTGATGAATGGAAATAAAGAGATTGAATTTTCATGTGTTAGCTTGTGAAATCTCTGGCTCTGCACTCAAAGACCAGACTCAAAGTGAACTGACATTGACTTACACCACTCTTGTGCTCAGAGGTTATAGGAGATTTAAGAGCTGCCCTTATTTTACAATCAATCAAAGCCTTTGATGACTCTCAACCAAGGCCAAAGTAGCATGGTACAAAAGGTATCTATGTTATTGCTTCTGTTCCTCTACAAATCAATCCCACAGGTGCAGGTTTAGGACCAGAGCTTATTCTGGGGTGGGGCTGTGATCCCCTAGGAAAGCAAACTCTCCCATGACAGTTACAGTGATGAGAGCTGGAAACTCCTGAGCACACACAGAGCTCTCCATAGGATTCAGCACTGAGGCAGTGATAGCACCTTGCTGTGAAAACACAAGTGGGAATGACTGCACAAGCATGAACTTTGCCCAATAAATGTTTTTACTTAGGCCTGTGTCAACAGAAACATGCCATGAGAAACAACAACTGGATAAAATAGGCTCCAATAAAGTTAATTATTATTCTTATGTCAGAGTTTACACCAAGGGATCCACAGGAGACACATGCCAAGGGCTGGCCCTTTCAAATGATGAACATCAACCCAAAACTTTCTAGTTAATGACAACCCAGAAACAGGGAATTATGTACTTCATGGGCAAACCCATGGCCTGGATTTTGCCTGCAGACAGAACACTGCTTAAGTCACTGAGCCTACAGGTGACTTTGGAGGCCTTCCACTGAGATATAAACACTAAGTCCCACAGCTCCTATGTGCAAGTATGCCCCCAAAGAGAAGTTGACTTGTGATTTCTTGCTGGTAAGCAGACAGGACACCTGCATACATGATTATAGTGTGATAAGGAATGAAGCCCACCAGGGCCAACTCTTACCTACAGCCGCTATAGGTCAGAGAAGTGCTCAGGGCCCTCCAGACCCAGTTCCAACACTGCAGATTAAGGTAAATCCCACAACAAGCAACAGTAGAAGCCCTCTTCTAGGCCAAAGAGAAATTCAGGGTCTAAGGTTCCAGCCCTTTCACTCAGAGGGATTCTATCTCTGGACTGATTTGTGTTTACCTCCAGGAGGGATAAATCCATGGACACACTGTTTGCATGCAGTTAAAACTGCCCTTGGCTCCTTCACAAGGCCAGGGGCAGAGCAGGGCACAGTAATCAAAGCCTAGTGAGCAGTGAGCCAGCCTTGACTCCCAGATCCAACACAGCCAGGACATGTAAGTGACCTACCTGCTCCTTTGTCATCTGCCACCCATGAATGGCCTTCAGAGCTCTCCCAGGGCCAGGGTGTCTGTTTATGGGCCTTCAACTGCACAAAGGTTTTAGTACACGCTTCAAAGTTGGGAGACTTGACCCTGTTTGATCTAGTTTCTTTGCTGTACCCTTTCAGGCAGTTACCTCTGATGATGTCTCATGCCATAAACAGAAATGGCCCAAAACCACACAGTTCAGGCTCATTTTCCAGAGCCCAATCTTCACTTCTCATTAAAATATAGACTCCATACACTGCAGAGGAAGCCAGCACACGGTCTCCTAGTAGCACAAATCACTCCAGCATAAACCAAACAAGATTATAAACCTCTCTCTGGAAATAAACTAAACAACCAAGTGCATGTTTCAGATAATCTTTATCTTTCTCTCTGTAGGTAAGCAAATAGTTTACAGTGCAAGTTGATTTCCACAGAACAAGTATCAGACTCCAAACACCAAGAAACAAAACAGAAAGGTTTCCAGAGGAACTCACAAAGAAACAAAGCAGAAAAGAGAGGACGGAAGAGATCATGAGAACCAGCAGATCCATGGGAGGGAAGAGGCAAGCACATGGGACACAGGATGCCCCATTCCAGCTGTGAGGTGCAAGTGCCACACAATCAGAGGCTGGCCCCACCAAATCACATTCTTATATATGAGAGAGATTCCAAGTAAAACAGAGACCTCACCCTGTTTGCATCAGAGCAGGGATGAGGTCAGGATGGGGGTAGTGCTGGATGGCAAAGTGGGCTGGAGATGGGAGCTGGGAGGGGGAAATGACCTCTCTCTGTTTCACGTATTTCTTATCCTTCAAGAAAACCATTCAGGTTTCATTTCAGCTTTCTACTGACAGCCCACTTCCAGTGCCCAAAGGAGGAAACCAACTGACTATAGGCCAGCAGCACACCGGAGCAGCCCTCCCTCCAGGAGGGGACACTCACATTGCTATCCCCCTTGCTTTAAAACTCAGGCAAGGGTTACAAGTGTGTGCCATACCTGCCCCCTTTAACGTGTGAGACCTGTTCCCATGGAGTGACCTCACCTCTGGCAAAGAGCTCGTGGCCAGGGATCCTCTCAAGAGCCTGAATACCAGAGCACCAAGGACTAAGCTTTGGTGGAGAGAAAGGTCTCAGTTCATGACAGGACCCCTCACATTTCATTGTCTAAAGACCACACAGATCCAACACAACAGCCTCTCCCAGCAGAACACAAAATGCAACTCAAACCCAAGGATGTCTCCACCTATCCCATGCTGCTGAACCAAAGCCAGCAACAGTGGGTCTCCCACTAATTCCACTTCTGGCTTCCAAGATTTCACATGCTTGGGACCCAATACATTCAAGATGTGATAACTTGGTCACTAGCAAAACGCCCTGAAGAACTGAACTTTGCCTCAGCACTCTCCACTCCCTACTGACATGGAGATGCTTTTCCTCCTACAACTTCCAGATTCCTCCTACAACTTCCCTGAGTGTTTCCCTCAAACCCCTGCCTTAAACAGTAGTGTGCAAAAGACCCTTCCACTCCCTGCATTGCATCAGCCTGCCAGGCAAAGATGGAAGGATATGGTTCCCTTCAAACCCAGGTGACACTGTCCCTCCAGTCAACAGAAGAAGACTAAAGGAGTTTAACACGTCTCCTCTTGCTGTCACTGAGCCAGTCCCTATGTGCTCACATGGATTAAGCAGGGTTTTCCAAAGTGGCACACACTCCATTGCAGCAGCCTATCATGGAGGACAGGCTGCTGGGCCTGGCAGCCAAGGTAAAACTTCTCCTGCCACACCAAAGCACCAGCTCCTATGAAACTTCTTAAGCAGCTTTCCAGGAAAGGAGTAGAGAGATTCAGAGCTGAGACACGAAGTTTTCCTTCAGCTACTTCTCCTTTCGTTGGGATGGGATAACTTCCCTATCAATATGCAACTGAGACCAGGGAGACACCTGCAGCCAGAAGGGATGCCCTGGAAACTTTGTGGAGCCACATGAAAGTAACTGCAGTTTCCAACCCCATCTCCTGCAGGAATAGCAGCTTCTCCCTTGCACCCAATTTACAGCTAGTCTTATTCAATCACATGCTGACTGTGACAAGGCAAGGACAGGGTCAGATTGCTTTCCAGACCACATCCAGGAGCAAAAGAGTAACAGAAGAGCTAAGTACAACCTGATTTCTAGTGCAAACACAACAATGCACAACCCCTTAGACATCTTTCACTCAAGGTTCCTGGTGAAGGGTGAGGGAAGAGAAGTGAGCTGGGGGGAGGGATGTCCAAGCAGGTCCCAGTTAAAGCTTTAAATGACAGGGAGGTAAATGAAGTGATTGTCCTTTTGGTCTCTCAGCTGGATGTGAAATGCAGGAATAGCTGTGATGAAGCAGCACACAGCAGTCCTTAGATCCAGTGTATTTCTCTTCATAGAGGTAAGTGCTCTCTTAGACCCGTTGAATTTCAAACAGCTTCACATCTGTGTCATACCAGATAGGGGGATCCACATTCCTGACAGAGAAAGACAAGAGCCACTTTAGTCTCTGTGACCAGGTACATGGAATGCAAATCTCACAGCTAAGATTACAGGAGCTGCCTACACAGAATGCCTTCTGCTTTGCAAAAGAGGAAATCACTGGCTGAAAGACAATGCACCTTAGAGGGATGACAGTATCTACAACATCCCACAAAGCCAGAGCTTTGCACTAAATCTCTGCACCATCCCCTCTAGGCAGCTTTTCTACTCCCTGCTGCTGCCAGTTCCCAAACAAGCAGAGCTCCCTTCACAGCTCCCTTCACTCAAACCAGGTTTTGGAGCAACTGATTCAGCCTGGCCTCTTCCAAAGGAATGACATCTTTCCCTCCTGTAAATATGAGACAATCCAGAGCTGGCCAAGAACATGCAATTCTCTCTACAAGCCTCCCAAAAGTTTGGAAAAGACCAAGTTAGGTTGCATAGAAGTGGGTTTACCTCAAATAAATAACTCCCCACATGTAGGTCCGGAACCACATGGCAGTGCCCGAGTTTGCCTGGTACTTGCGGATGAGGATGGGGTGAGGCACAGGCAGCAGCCCCACCAGTGTGCCATGCTGCAGGAACTTGAGGATCTCCGATTCATCAGTGAGACCCCTGCAAAGAGGCAGATGAGGAACACCCTTAGCATGTCCCACAGGTACCCCAAAACTGCTAGCACAAAGTATCAGGCTAAACACACACAGACACAGAGCCAGCAATTG